CAGATTCTGGTTGATAGTCACAAGTTTATTTCAAATGGCCACAGCACAGGTCACATAATATTTTTTAGGTATTGCTCAGGTTTTTATTGATAGTCACAACATCGGTCACAGCACATGGCTCAGGTCACAACATTGGTCACATCACATGGCTCAGGTCACAGCATTGGTCACATCACATGGCTCAGGTCACAGCATTGGTCATAGAGACTATACAGCACCACCTCGACACCACCACCGTCTTACATGCCCTAACCCTAGTACGCCATTGCTACCACAGCCGGCAACTCACCACAACCATCATCATTAATGTCGTCAACACAGCCTCACCAATCGACGGCAAACCAAAAACCATGAATATCTCCGGCATAAACAATATCACCACCATAGTAAATTATTAGATCCATAAAACCACCACCCCCGCCAACATGATCGCCACCACCAAAATCACTGCACAACCACCGCAAAATGAAGATTCAAAATTTGCATAATCGCCACTACCACCATTTACATAACACCAACCACCACCAATAAAAACAGCCTAAAAATTCCTGATACATTGAACTGAGAACACCATTGAATTGCCGCAACTGCCACCACTAAATCTAATAACCCTCTTCGTCGCCATCGCACCACCACAAACCACAGCAAAGAACACAAACCTGCAGGGGCGGCGACAAACATATCGCGCAGAAAGAGGATCTTTGTTCGTCTCTATTCGTTCAGCATCGAATCGCAGCAGCAACGTCGCGCAGAGACGCTGCTGCTAATTTGCAGCAGCGTGGACGCTACCCTAATTCGCAACAGTGACGTTGCTGCGAATTAGGGCAGTGTCGCTCAGCGGTGCTACTGCTAATTTACAACAGCAGAAGAGGTGGAAGGGAGAAGACGGGAGGGAGGTGGAGACAGGAAGGAACAGAAGCCACCGCCGGAGAAGCCATCGCCGAGAGAGAGAGAGAGGGGAGGGGGGGAGGGGTGAGGAAGACGGGAGTTATGAACTGAACGTGAAAA